ACTTTAAAAAATTGCAAATTTTTGCCGCCCCTTAGATTTGCCGCCATAAGCCGCGGCCTATGTGGCCACCCCCTTAATCCGGCCCTGAGTATGGCAGCATAATATCTGAGAGTCACGTTCATTCTGTTTCATCTTTTACTCAGGTGCGAACAAGTTAACATCCAAACCGAGCGTGCATCCTAATTTAACTACGTAGATGGGTAAGGTTCAGAAAGGCTTAAAACTAGACTTCAACTTATCAAAACTCCCTGGCGCTATATTCGTTATGGAAATGGGAGTATGTTTTACGACAAAAATCCCAGAAAATTTTTTATCAAATCACATTGATAATTAACAAACATTTCAGAAGTAAAATCGAGATCTTTCTCGAGTAAAGTAAAAAATTGACAAATGAAACCCTACAACCTTGCCTTTAGTCGCTTTAGTCCTTTAGTTCGCACCAGTTCATTCGGTATCTTTAAATTTTAGCGGAGCTTACGTTACGAATTATTGATCCAAAAAAAGGTGTACGACCTAGCATTTGGTTTCAGGACTGAGAATACATCGGTATGTAACACAAAGTGAGTTATAAGGACACTATGTAAATGTGACACATCATACAGTGACATTTACGTGCTGGGAAAATTTAATTTATAAAATGGAGAGACAACTAATTCTAGTGATGTAGGGTTTTCCTTCAATCTTGCATGATGTGATACGGGCTCTGCTGGCTCTGGGAGAAATAGAGTTCAGCACGAAAGGGAGGAATTTTTAGAGACTCCGTTGTTGGGACTCGGGAACGAGAGCATATTCAAACCCCCGATCTTCGGTTTGCTCATTTAATTATTGCTCCCTTTTTCTCTCTTCGCGAAGAGGATAGGTCACTTCGGACAGAAGTCGCACAGTGGATCGTGTCAATCAGAGATGTCTGACATGAAATTTTTAACTAAAAGCGCAAAGTTTGATGTTTAATTTGTCACATTTTAAATTTTAAGGGGTGCCTCTGAAAGAAAATTTCATGAGGAAACCAATGGAACCACTTTTAAATCTCAAAGTTTTGTATGGGTGGAGTTATAAACTTTTAAAGTTTCCAAATTTTGCCCGACCTCTCCCATTGACTCGATCCACCGTGTGCCGGAAAAAATAACCACTGACCTCGGTCTTTTTCACAAAAACTGCATTTTGCAAGTGGAACCTGACCGCACCGCAATGGCGCAATGGTTGCGCGGCATCCAGGTTTACGATAAATTAATCGGAAGTCAATGAATAAATGACATTTTCGAGGTGATTTTGTGTGTGTGCAAAGACAAATCATAAGGAAACATTATAGGTTTTTCTCGAAAAATATAAAATTTTGCATGCCCAAGCAGCACAGTGCGCAATTTGCAATTTATTGCAATAAGTTATAATAAGAGGTGTTCCTTCAATTTATGGATAGGCAACATTCGCAACTTCCGACGTGGTTGCAATAATTGTATTATGTAATTACAACTTAATGGAATTTGCTGTGCTAACTGGGTAATTTAATATCTTATAAGCACTGCAATGCTTATGGTAGTGCTTCTATCATGCAAATTTTGGTCCGCATTGAGAACAAAATGTATGCAACTTTACCTGGTCATCCTTTATTGATGGTGCTAGGTATGTATGGAAAAAAAAAAAAATATGAATAAGTAGGTACGTATCTCAGAAAATGTTTAGGCCAGAGAAACCGGAATCATTTATTTTAAATATCGGGCACATAATGTAAATACCTCTCTTAATTTCTGGTGGTCCAATTCTGTAACCTAAGATCATTATCAAATCATGCGAAAATACGGAGATTTTGACCGGCGGCGAGGCGGTGTTATATACGATTTATAAAAGGGTTCAGCAATTCAGTGCTTCTGCGCCAATTCTTATCGGAGTGTGGAGGCTGGAGGGTGATTCTGTCAGAAAATGTAATTTTATCTTAATGATGATCGTAACGTGGTGCGATATTAACCCTCAATCTTTAAGAATCGCACCAACGTTATAAAATATTAATGACAATCCCATTTGTTTTATTATTAAAAAAAAACAAGCCCTCTTTCGTTCACTCAATGAGCCACTAAAAGATCCAGTGACGATGGAAAAATCCATGTCTCGCGTCGTAAAGTAGTATCCTTCATTTATCCCAAGCAAACATTCGATAGTAATGATAGGATTATGTGAGGGTTTAAATCAGAAAACGTTGGCGGCAAATTGTTATTTAATTTCCTCAACGTGTGCTTACAGTGCGAGGCTACCAATAAAAAACCGACGAGTACTTAACTGAGGTATTATCTCTGCCATTTTATCATACGATCAGATGTTTACGCTGGTAAACTAAAAATTATTATCAGCTCGGGAAAAATTTGAAAAGCAAACGTAAGAAAACACCATCTTCTTAAAAAAAGCCTCTCGTGGGTAAAGTTGTACTATTTGTTTTAATTTCAGAACGAATCGGTTGTAGAGTCTCAGGAACGTCGTATTAGAAACATCGTATTAGAATTTCGTGATTTGAAATATTCGTCACCGTTGTGTTTACTAAGCACAAGCGCTGCGCGCAAGTCGGTGCGAGCAAGAGAAACCAGGGCTCCTTCAATTTTTTTCATGCAACACGCACATTTATAGAGCACGAATAGTTGCGTCACTTGCATCCAGGCGCTGTGATGAATTTTGCCTCCTCCCGCGCATCTGTCGCGCGTCGGCTGCAAAACTAAGGGAAACATATTAAAATTCGATGGTGGAGGTGAAATCACGGAACCACGTATCTTGATTTGGGACGTTATAAATCTCCTGTCACGTTTAACTATCCAAAGAAAGTTCTGATTATCGTGCCTTATCGACATATCATTTGTTTCCCCCGGTTTTGACGACTGTTTCAATAAATTTAGCTCAAAACATTTTATTTTCGTGAAAAAATGAAAACCAAGTGAAAATGTTTAAACCGAAAAATTTACTATATTAGAGGTCCGTGATCCACTTTATTTTCGCCACCGCCGATATGCTATTACGCGCGCAGCATAGCATGCGCGTTGCGCGCATATTGTTGCTGACTGCAAACCGCCTGATTAAAAATCCGAAAAAATTATATATGAAAGTGAAAAAGTGTCCGAAATGTGTTTTCCCCCTCCCCTCTCTTTTTTCTTATTCTCTCTTTCAAGCAGGATCTTTTTATGGTAACAGTTTCAAAATTCTAATAAATCCCAACACTCTCTTCATATAGGCACTCTATTGCAGCACTGCTGTGTTGTGTCCATCAATTTATTTTATTTTCCGGAAAAATGATATCTTTTTTATTCAATTGTAGAAACACGTTTTGTGGTTCTACGATCTAATTTGAGGAGTGTAAAGTATATGCGGCGCTTTTGCAGTTGCTCAAACGACACGGTTCATTTACTGCTTTAAGTATCAAATGTTACCTCTCTGGAATGTCAGGTATTAGACATACATTTCGAGAATTAAACTCGTGAGCATAAAGTTTAACGAGACTTACATTTACGATGGCCGGTTAGGGTAATAGCATCCATTACTTCGTCAATTATTTAACAGAAGAAATAATAAAAAAATTAATTGGTAGTTGTGAATCAAAGCTCTAATTTTCTCATAATGCATTGAACCAAAACAACGCTGTATACATAACTTCATTTTATCTGTATTTTCCGCCTCCTATTTTCTCTTTCTTCTTTCTTTTTTCGTCTTCAACATTAATTTTGGCCATTCTTGTAAAGGGTCAGTGTCCGACAACCCTCTGAATATGTAGCATGTACGTGCTTTACATAATTGATGTTTCAGTCAAGGGTACGTTAACTTCCACGATGAAACGTAATCGTGTTATAATGGAATTTCATCAGTGGCGAGGCGTGAATAATCGAAAATCGACCTTTGCTCATTCGAAACTATGGTAAAGAATCGATTGTAAAGGTGCTCGTCGCGAACACCCTCTTTATCGATCCTTTTCCATTGGTTTAAATGGCCGATCAATCGATATATCGCAAAACTCGCCACACGCCAGTGAATTTAATCACTCGTATGCGGGATATGAGTCAGTCTGAGGGTGTCCGACATCGATTCCAGAGAAATCTAGAACGTATTTTAAAGTATTCGAGATGTTCATGAGTCATGTTTCTCCATCTTACTCAACGCTGATTTTGGGGTTGTTTCTTGCAGGCATTGCCGCAAAAGAAATGTTCATTTTTAGAAGGAAAATTCCTCGAGCCATCAAGTTGACGTACTGACGGTACATTATTTCCATTTGGGTGGATATTAAAAGTGAGTCCAAGTTTTGGAGGGTGATAGCGTTTTAGCTCCTTTTGTACTGAGTTTTAGCAAGCATACGAGACTTTAAATTCCCAAGTACGGTCTCAATGAGTCTCGAATTGAAAAAAAGTATTTATCGCGATAAGGAATTCTCAAAATGAACAGGGCAGACTATAACCCCTGAAAAGTTTTATAGCCCTTCCTCCGATAACCTTGTTCCATACTTTCAAAATTCTTGGCTTGTAATCAAATGCCCGTCAAAAAGCTTGACGAATCACCTTAAAGATCATACATCATGTTCAACCTCTTGCATTAATCAGTGGCAGTTTTGCAAGTTGGCAACACTGTGTTTCCTCCGTTTAAATCCATTAAAGATATCGATTTAGGCGAGACAAGCTGTACCATCAAGACTCGACTGTTTTACATACATTTAAATTAAGGAAAAACAGTGTTGCCAGTTTTCAAGAATTGCCAATGCCATTGCTCACAGCTCTTGCGATCATTTTCAAAGCATATGACTTAACACTTTTAATGCATTAATTGGAGTAGATGTCAGCTTCCGTCTTATCTTTGGCGTAAACAACAATTGTTGTTCTCATGTTCAAATACGTATCCAGTCTGGACTACTCTTTTAAAAAACAAAATACTGTTGAAGATTTGACGACATCCGCAGGTTTTTTCTCATTTTCATCCATAAAATCCGATTTAAATTGTTGAGACTCCAAGCGTATTCATTCCATTTATTTTGTGTGTTACAGGCCTCTGGCGTAAAAATCCACTCGAAAGAAGTTGACAAAGGACAACTGGTTTATCGGAACAACAAGCTATGAAATGCGTCACAATGTAAAAAACACTTTACCTCGCCGGAGCAGATTTCAGAGTTATGATACGAACGCACACGCGGCTGCTCGACCTCGACGTAGCGCCTTCATTTATTCAGACCGCAATAAGTCCTACAAACTGAACGAATTTTAAGCCAGTGCTTCTGGTGCTCATGAAGTCAATGCGGCATCGGCACTGCCAATGTTGACTTTGAGCTCGGATGAAAACATTCCCTCGGAAAATTATTTCCAATTATTATTTTAGTGAAAAATAAGCTTCGAAGTTCTTTTCTATTGATCATTCTTCGTGTTGAAAGTAATATCCATAACTTTAACGGTTTCAACGTACTGTAATTTAATCTAAACCAAATATTATATCAATGATATATTGCGATGTCAAAAATGTGTCAATATAACGACAACATTCCCATTATTTCAAGAGATCTTGTTACCGTTCAATTAAAATGATCGTTTTTCATCAAAATACATAAACGTAAGTTTCAAATCATACAGACACGATCATCCTTTTGTTCACTTAGAGCAGTGATGACATTAATAACACCACTCATGTTTAAATTACTCTGTTCGTAATTTTACCCGATGATTTATATAAACAAAAGTAATTGTTGAAGTTGTCGAAGAAACTTTTAGTCCGTAGATACCTCGTATTTTTTTGCATTTACTTATTTTCCTGCAATTTATAAGTATTATTTTAATCTGCGAAACGATCAGTATTACGAAGCATCTGGAGGACGGAGTCGCCTAAGAATGAAGGAGGCCGATTCATCACATGACTAAACGCCTAACTTAGTCGCCTAACTTAAACGCCTAAAAAGTCCGTATCGTTGGAATGATAGGCAAAATAACTAGTCACAATGAGCCTCCAAACGTTTCGCACCTCATTTGGAGCTCTCCTGCTGCTAGCGCTGACCCAAAGGACCTCCGGCATCACCAACGAACGCCCGCAGCCAATCCAAGACACCGCCTCAGCACCCAACTCGACGTTCGCCGACAACAAGGTCGAAAGCGGCGGGCACAGATCATTGTTGGACGCAGCGAACTGGCCCCACGTCCGTCATCAGCAGCAAACGCCCCGGTGGCTCTCCGATGAGCCGACTTCCAGCAGAAGATCCACTTCCGGGAAGAGGGCAGCTCCTCCGGAAATGGACGCCGAGCACTTCCTCAGCGAATCACCGATGGACTCCGACTTGGAACCGGACGACGACCTAAGCGGGAGTCTCACCGGAGGCCTGACCGTCCACAAGTGCTGCCCCTTCGGAGAACAGCTTGAGCATCCGAGCAAGAAGTGCATTCCACTCCCGGAGGAACCTCCCGGGGCCGTGACGGAAACGCAGTACAGCGAACCGGAAAACGCCAGCTCCGGGACGGAAATCCCGGACTGGCTCCCGCCGAACCTCCGCGTCGGGGAGGTGTACCTCCAGTCGAAGCCGGCCGACTTGGTGCTCTTCAATTTCGCTCAGCGGAAACCGGAATGTCCGTTCCCGGACGTGGTGCCCATCGACGATTTGAACCTGAGCAGCAGCGGTGATCTCCTCTCGCGGAGCGCCAACGGCGGGCGCTTGAGTTTCTCTAGTCAAGACTTCTGCGTGGACCGTATCCACGTCAAGGACGTCAACCTGACGGACGTGAGCGCGGACTTCCACGCTATCATCCTGTGCCCCTGCAACGACGGCGGCGCCTTCTGCGTCAACAAGTGCTGCGGGGTCGAGGACGTCATGCAGATCGACGAGGAGCTCCGCTGCGTCCCCACGACTGCGTCCAAAGATGATCTCATGGCTGCTCTCCGAGAGGCCACCTTAAATGAAGTTCCTAATAAAGCAGGTAACGCAATTGAGTCCTTCTGCCGTGCTGAGGAAGAACGCCGTAGGAGCCTTCAGACGTTGCCGAGTTTCCTCCGATAAAAACCCAATTGACTTGGACAATTGGACGCATTTCTGTCAAACGGAACTATGTGCCTTAAGACATGAGCCCTGAGACCCACAAGAATATATGCATAACAGGGCTCACGTCATAATGCACATAGTTCCGTTTGACAGAAATACGTCCAATTGAGAATATTATTTTCCAAAATTTTCTGACGATTTTCCACGCGATTCAATTTAAAATATATGAATATTTCAAGGAAAAATATACATGAATGTTGTCAAAAATGCATGTTTAATAAAGGGAAATTTGGCAACTTTCGAATTTTCATACGGCGTTCTTCCTTAGCACGGCAGTATAACCCTCAGTCCATGCATTACGTCACCCATTTTTTCAATTCTTCGACCCCTCCTTCCTTCACCGTATCCACCCGTCGTTAACTGCTGGACACCCTCTAAAAATTACGTTATCCTCAGCTTACCTCCTCCCCCCCCCATTTAAGGGGAAACGCATGAAATCTATAACAATCAGTAGATATAGTCAAATGTCAAGCAAGCATTTCCAGCCTTTTTGCCCTCGGGGGAGCTTACGTCATCCTTGGCTTGACCTCCCCCCTCCCCTACCCGCTACTTGAGTGACGTATACTTTATGAACGGCCCCTTATATCGTCGCTTCGCTGAAGTAAGGGTATATTTCGATTTCCGAATGAGCCCCAGACACAGCGATATTGAAGCAGAAAAAAAAAAAAAAAAATGCGACAAAAATGTACCCAAAAACTGTAAGAAGTAAATCGAGCTGATCGTACTGATCGAGTAAATGGTACGTGTGAACTCAAAATCGTGGAAAATCAAAATCTTGACCGATCCCAATTTCGAGATACGGCAATTTGAAAGTTTCATAGTGAATGCAAGTTTTCTACTGATTTTGATCAGCATTTTTATTTATTTGTCCTTGGAATCTGTGTTGATCAGTTCAAATTTGTATTCTTTGTTCGATTCATTTCGATCGAATACACACCCTTTCGTTACATGCAGACTTCCTATCATACTCTTTTTTTAACTGAACATTTCGCCTTCTGCTGCGACTGTAGCAATTGTTGTTATGTACATGTTATGCGTGCTTATCATAACTCATTACATACTCAACTCACTGAAGGCGTTTTTGTGCACAAGTAGCGCGATCTGTCGGAGAACGAACAAAGTAGGGATTAATCGATTCGTTCAATCTCACTTCTGTTGTTCTCCAACAGGGTGCTCTACTTTCGCACATTAAACGCCTTCGAAGAGTCAAGTATGTAATGAGCTGAGATCAGCACGCACAACATATTCTTAACAACAATTGCTGCGGACGCAGCTGAAGGCGAATTGAAAACAACCGTATAAAACACGCTGAAAACCATTTATCTCTTTAATTAATATTGTTACCAATAGAGAGTTGTATTATATGGTTATTTTATGGGGGATTCTGGAAAAAAATTTCAACAGCAGCTAAAACATGAGATATGATTGATGCTCCGCAGTCCGTGACGTCATAACGTGTCACGTCACGATAACACGACGTGGTAACACACGCGCAGTTCGTAATGTGAAAGAAACCATGATGTACACTTCGACGGCGGATGGCGTCATACACCATGTTTCTCAATGAGAGATAGACTGAAAAAAATTCTCGGCGTTTTTACCAAGGTCCGTTGGTACCTTTACCATCTCACTTTTGTTACCAATTATTGGTAATTTTATCAAGACAGACTGGTAAGCTTACCTAAAAACCGGTATGTTTACTGTTTTTTTCAGGTAAGAATACCACTTTTATTGGTAATCAATTCCCGGTAACTTTGCCATTTTATCTCGGTAATTCTATCACAGTCGATAAAAAATATTGGCGTTTTTACCAAGGATCCAGTAAAATTACCGAGAAAGTTCAATAATTTTACCGAGATTTCTCGGTAAAATTACCAATTCCATAAATGGTAATTTTACCAAGAAAAAACTGGGATCAAATAGAACCCTGAATTCTTGGTAATTTTACCCTTTCCTCAGTAAATACACCGAGATTTTTTCCAGTGTATGCCTGCTATATTGGCCGTAGAAACTTGGCATTTGTACTGATCTAATGTGTTTGAGCTAATCTATGAGCTCAAGCCATCGAAACACGATTATGTAACCAACCCATTATATTTAGATCCATTAACTAATTTCAACTCATCGTTTTTTCCACAGCTCGTCCATTTTACTTGAGGGAAAGCTATATACCGCGTTGCGAGCATGGAGCCTACTTGCTCAAAAACGCGCTGAAGAAGAACGGGGTTAACAATGGTCCGGCAAAGTTCTGGCTAAAAACTGACGGACACATCAAACTAAGTGATCTGAATGTCGAAGTCCGGAACACAGACTATTGTCTCGATATGGTGAACGTAAATAACAAGAAGGAGTTACAGGTATTTACGTGGTTCTTAAAAAAAAAAAAAAAAAAAAAAAAAAAAAAAAAGCTTGAAAGATAGGCAATTGGCAATGCAAAGAAATTGAAAATTATTTCAATTTTATCACGATTAGATGTCCCGGTAATTAATAGATATGTAACATAGGTACGCAATTACGCATCTCGATTAAGAAATATATAGCAATATTTTTATAGTATGTAATTGCACTTTTATTATGATCGGTGCTACTATGGGATTAAGTCTTACCGTGGAATATTGAAACTACAAAGATGAAACAATTTACGGATCTTACTGTATATACATATTTCTTCCTCTTTTACAAATCGGCAAAGTAGAATTAATTTCCAAAGACTCGATTTTTTTCCTTTTTTTCTCCAATGGTGAATTTCAATGCCTTCATCAAATATGATTGATGATGTTCGCGTCACGAGTAATTTACCGCCGCACAGTAGATTGAGTCAATATGAGAGGTCGGACAAAGTTTGAAACTTTAAAAGCTTATAACTCCGTTTATACACAATTTTGAGGTTCTATGGGTGGTTCCACCGGTTTCCTCATAAAACTTTCTTCCACTTAAAGACCCCTGGAAATTTAAAATGTGACGAAATAAACATCAAAATGTGCAGTTTTAGTCAAAAATTTCATGTTCGACCTCTCTAATTGACTTGATCCACTGTGCTACGTCCAAGCATCACGTAACTTACTCTGAGGGAAGGAGGGTCTAAATTTTTCTTAAGTAGAGTCAGGTTCTTAGGTTTAATTGTAGGGGTATTTCCAAAGATTCCTCATCATCATGTACATTCTTGAACGAAAAAATATATGTTTAAAACGGATTTTCTTTTGATTTGTACAGATGATCGGCTGTCGTCGTGCGAATGTCGGCAGTCTCAACCTCAAATCTGGGTTCCACGAGATATTGTACAAAATGTACTACACCTCGGGCGCAATTTTTCTCGGTCTTACCTTACTAGTACACCTGCTGCGACCTGAGCTCCGCAAGAGCTTGCACTCGTACAATTTCATCGCTCACAACGCGAATCTCTTCGTCGCCTACCTCATCCTCACTTTTGCCCACCTCTCGCAACTCTCCAGCGACCCCATCGTATGCCCCGTCCTCGGTGAGTTCCATGGATCGTATTCGATACATCCAACGGGTGAGATTGCAAGAAAACCCAAAGCGCCTTCAATTTTTGTATATGCAACATGCACGTGCATGGAGCACGTATAATTGTATCCAAGCGTTACGACCAACGTCGCACAGAGGATCGAGTCAATAGTAAAAGTCGGACAAAATTTCAAAACTTTAATCGCTTATAACTTCGTTTAAACAAAACTTCGAGGTTCGAAAAGTGCTTTTATTGATTTTCTCGTGAAATTTCCTTCTTGGAACACCCCTTAGAGTTAAAAATTTGACGAATTTAAAATCCAAATTAGGAGTTTTTGTCAAAAATTTCATGTCCGACCTCTCTAATTAACTCGATCCACTGTGCGTCGCGTCTCCTAAAAGAAAGACCCTTAAAACAGGTGGCGCAGAATTTTGTCAGAATTCCGATGCTAATAAACTAAAATGTAAAATCTCCGTATTAAAACTAATGTAACTATGTAACAAATGGAACAAAACTATGTAACTAACTAATGTAACAAAACTAATGTAAAAACCGTCGACCTCCTATGGTGTAGTGGTTGTAGCGCTAGCTCTATGATCGGGAGGTTCTGGGTTCGATTCCCGGCCAGACGACCCAAGTTTAATGGTCTCAAACAATGGTTTGCCTGGGACTGGTTGGTAGGGACGGAGGGGGGATAGGACTAAAGCGCAGGATTAGCCCTTGTGGGCTATTAGAAGTAGGAAAAAAAAATCGATCTCCTTTTAGTACTTTATGGTGCCTGAGAATTTCCTTTCATTTTTTACTCCATTATTGTAATCGCAAGACAAGTTGTCATTCGAAAAAAGAGGGAGCGACCCGTTTGTGGTTAATGTAAGTTCCCAACCCCCATTGAGGCGTCATCTGCCACACCCAGGCTCTTCTTAAAATAAGCTGCAACAGGCAGCCTCTTAAATGAAAAATAATTATCCTTGTTAACAAATTCAAAGCGTCATAGGGTCCTCTGGATGCAACAATGGCAAAAAATCAAGAAAAATCGCTGAGAATAAGTTTTGTCGTTCATGCTCTTTGGCATATTTACTTCACAACGCGGAAAATTTTAATTGCTGTATTCATGATTGCTCATCCAGCTTTAAACTACTTCTTAGTGACTAGTGTAGTGTCAATAGCTCAAGAAAATTCCAAAATGAAAGGCTTAATCATGATCCTTTTATCATCAATATTTTTCAGGATTTGCCACTCAGTTTTTCTTCTTATCAACATTCTTCTGGCTAAGCGTCATTTGCTTTGACATTTCCTCAGCATTCGGGTACGTACGATAAACACGAACTTGTTTTATTTTACTTATTCTCATCGGCAGTCCATAATCAATAGAGGCGAGGTACACTTAGGGCGAGTATACACTCAACGCTGTCAACAGTGTCAACTCCTGCGGTGCCATTGAAGAAGTATCAAAGATAATTGAAGGGGATTCTTCTGCCGCTTTGTGAATGCGGAATGTACACGATCATCTCATGACTAAAATACGGGGATACGACTTACGCCTCTACTCATTATCATTTTAAGTATACCTTTACATGCCATTTTCACAAAGTTTCATGCTGGTAGCCTGAAACGCACTGTAAAGGTCAGTCAATGAAATTAGATGTATAAAACAAAGAAATTTCTAAGATTGCTCATACATTGACGCCAGTAACACATTTTAAAGATTAAATAAAAGACACGATTTTTTTAATATGCTATAACGCCCCCCCCTCCCGATAAATGTCCCCCTTCCATCAATACAATTGGTTAAACTGGTGCGTAATGAATTCTCTGAGAGTACAGAAATACTCTTAGTTCCTACCTCTTACATACCATTTCTTCTCCCAAACATGTACGTGGGCACTACTGAGTTTAAAAAGTAGTTTTCATAAGATTCTCTGAGACTCGTTTCTATAATAGGATATTATGGATTACATTTTGCAATAAGGAACCACTATCTCTGGCTCTCCCATAAAAGCACATGTCGTCACCTTCCGGGCAAAGTATCACAAGCGCCATGCGACGTTTCAAAATTTACGCCGCCATTTTATTTTTTTAGAGAGAAATTGTTCAACGAAGCTGTCGGAAAATTTCACTGAATTTTCTTTGTGCTCCCAATAAAATTCAGTGAAATTTTCAAACAAATTCAACCAAAAATTTCTCTGTAAAAAAATAAAATGGCAGCGGAAATTTTGAAACGTCGCATGGCGCTTGTGATACTTTGCCCGGAAGGTGACGATGTCTGCATAGGGAAACCAATGGCATGTATGTTGTTTCTAAAATGGTCCAGAGATAGTAGTTTCTTATTGCAAAATGTAATCCTTATATTCTTCTATTTTGAACTTTCCGTGTTATTATAATTTCATTTCTTTGATTTATGTTTTGCGTAGGGGCCTGGTACCAAAAAGCAATTCTCATACCTCTCTGAAATTCGTCAAGTACGGGGCATTTGCGTGGGGAATGGCTTCAATCATGACTGGACTCACCGCGGTGGCAGAATACACACCATTCTTAGGAGCCAACTCCTCTTTTAAACCTAACTTCGGAGTCAACACGTGCTGGTTTAAAGGTACTGCCATATCCAATCAACACTATTTTAAGGGTCTTAGCTTCGCTTAATGACTCGATCAGTCGCAATGGTCATAAAATTTGGTTTGGATGAGTGTAGATCACAGCGGCTGAATATTACTTCTAGGATAGTGAAACGCACCCTTGCCCCTGGTGTTAAATTATAGTGCAAGTGCGAGTACGGTCTGATGCCGATTTTTGGGTTTAAGTTTTACTCTTAATTGGCACGGTACCATACACGTGTGCGAAGGTCCCACTCCTCTCACATTCCTCTTTATGAGAATCAATTAAACCGATGAACGACCTTTTGAATCTATTATTTGTGGTAGGTATCGTTCATCTAAAGTTCGCCTCCAATTTTGCCGCATAGGCAACAAACACACCGGGAGGTACGGGTGGTTATCAGATCAAAAAAACACGAATTTTTCCATTACCTACCTCTGATTGAACCTATGAAATCAACCTTTAACTTTGAGCCTTTGATATAGACCTTTTCTCAGGCATCATGACATCTTTCTTAAAGTTCCATTCTACAGTTACAGATATCACTCAATGTAACAAAATCACAATCTGAAAAAGAAAAATAAATTTTGAAATTTGAGCGGTAGACTGTGCTCTGATTTCATTAACTCAACTTAGAGTTTTTACGGACTTAGATCCATTTTCTCGTGGTAGAATCCATAAAGCTTTTGAACTAAACTAACGTCTATTTTGTTGCAGAAAAGAAGGGAGCAGCCGTATTTTTTTATGGACCTATTGGCGTGATGCTCGTATTGAATTTAATCCAGTTCTTGGCCACTGTTAGGAGGATTACTGCGGCAAGGCGGGACACTCGCGTATTGAGGAACTCCCCGGAGCACCAAAATGTGACGTCATCCACACGGGGAGAAAAACACTGGTATATCATTTTGAATATTTTACACTGAAAAAAAGTAGCTTGGATCAAGCATGATGATTCTTGAATTTGCCGCCAAGAAAATTTGTTTATCTTGCTTTAAGCTGACTTTTTCTTGATACAAGAAAAAAAAGGTTCGGGTTAAGCGAAAAAGTAGCCTACATTTACCAGAAAAAATCTTGATTTAAGAAGAAATACTTCTTGGCGGCAAATTTATGATTCTTTTTTTTCCAGTGTAAGGCTCTATCTTCGTCAACATTAGTTAGACCTCTAAAAAAGGAGGGAGGAAATTTGGAGCTCACCTGTAACCGCATATTTTCTCTTGTAAAAAATTCAAAGTCGAGATCGAAAAACAATTTTGAATGAAACATAGGCGTCGAACTTCATTTTGAACGTTGTGCTTTACTTTAAACAATATTTTCTCAGTTCGACCTTAGTTAGACTTGGGTTATTTTTGTTCAACTCGGTCTTCAATCGCTTTTCAGGGTGGGACATATATTATCCACTTCGAGGTTTATGGTCAATTTTAATTGACTCTTTGACATTTTTCTAACTGTAGCCATTTCCATTTCCGTTTTTTAATCCCGCACACTCACCCTTACAAAAAGTCATCGGCCGGAATGACTACATTGGTAAAATTTTAAATCTTTTTTATTCCCGCTAATTGCGGTAACTTGGAAGAAACGAGAATCTCAGCCTCTCAGTTGAAAGAAACTATACGAAAATGAATAAAAGAGGGGGAAAAACCAAGAAGCACGCAGTCCTTGGTTTTAACTCATTTGTACATCGATCTTTTAGAGTCAAATACGTCCAATTTTTGAGCGTTTGGTTACGCTTGCACCACGTTGCAGCACAGTAAAAGCACAAAATATAAAAGAAAAAAGTTCAAGGGCTTTGGAAATCATTAAATTTGACGCGGGCCCACCTTAATATTTACAAAACACACACTATATTCTCCTTTAATATATATATATTTTTTCATCAATTTCAATGAGAATAATCCATGGAAAGTGTGCGAACATTTCAAAATTATGAGTTGAAAAACGCTGATTCCACGAGTTAAAATATTAGAGATGAACACAGAGCGGAGCAGCGCGGCGCGCGGCGTGCTGCTAGCGCGAAACGCGCACTGGTACCTACAAACCCAACTGGGATACTTCACGCATTGCGCAATGCGTGAAGTATCCCTGTTAGGTTTGTAGGCGCCAATGTACGTGTCGCGCTGGTCGTCCTCGCCGCGCGCGGCGTGCCAGTGCCACGGCGCTTTAAGCAACTGTTCTGCAACAGAGGTGTTGCACAGTATCATACGAAATTGAAGGCGTTCCAACATATTATGATAAACATCCTTTAAGAGTACGGAGCTCTCCTCGCAAAATAAATCAAGGTACCACGGCACAAAAAGAGAGCTGTGGTTCAAAAACTCATTGAGTCCTAGCATCCGTATCAAATAACGTTCAGCAGAATTTTTTTAATTTCATTCGAGAAAAAAGTGACTCGATTAAGACAGAAACATTTTTGAGTATGCCGTCAAGAAGATTTTATTTTGAATCAAGAATGAAATAGCCGAATGAAAGCGGGCTGCTGCTTGATGGAAGTGACTTTTCTTTTTATGGTGCCAGGACTACTCACCCACAGATGATCGCTCCAGATGTTGATGATTCTAGCGATTTTATCGCCATTGAAATCGCGATACATCGCGATTTTTTTGTTGAAAAATGCTACTTGGGCACTTACGTCCTCTTTGTCTATCAATTTCAACGATCAGCCTGCAGGGGTGTAAGAAATTGCAAATTGATTGCGTTGAAACGCAACTGTATTTCAATTATTTCGTTGTACTTACCTTGCCGTTTGAGTAATCCTCTTTTTCCTCTTTTCCCTCTTCTTCCTCTTTTTCCTCTTTTTCCTCTTTTTCCTCTTTTTCCTATTTTTCCTCTTTTTCCTCTTTTTCCTCTTTTCCCTCTTTTTCCTCTTTTCCCTCTTCTTCCTCTTTTTCCTCTTTTTCCTATTTTTCCTCTTTCTCCTATTTTTCCTCTTTTTCGTCTTTTTCCTCCTTTTTCCTCTTTTTCCTCTTGATAATCCTCTTTTGTGTCTCTCAGGCTGTTACTGTACGGAAAGCTGTTCTGTCTGATGGGCGGGACTTGGTTGTTCGAGGTGGTGTCGTGGGTTTTGGAGGGTCCGTCCTACCTGTGGTACTTGCCGGACGGGATCAACGCCCTCCGCGGCGCGGGCATCTTCTTCATCTTCCTCTGGCAGAGGAAGTTTTTTCGTAACTTCTCGCTGAGCCTCCACCACAGCTCCAACCAACCGACGACGACGAGCGCCAACAGCAACGGCTCCGCCGGGAAGAAGAAGGGATCCCTCACCACAGTCCGGACCAGCTCCATCCAGCTCTCGAACATCAACGGCTGCGTCAAACACAAAACTTCCTTGACCAATGTAAACGACAATAAAGCTGGGCCAACTCTATAATTCTGTTTATTCATTTCCTTTTACCAAGCGGCGCACAGTGGATCGAGTCAATCAGAGAGGTCGGACATGAATAATTTGACTAAAACTGCAAATTATGTTGTTTATTTGTCACATTTTAAAATTTAAGGGGTGCATTAAGAAGAAAATTTTACGAGGAAACAAATGAAACCTGTTTTTAAGTCTCAAATTGCTGTATGAACGGAGTTATGAGCTTTTAAAGTTTCCAAATCTTGTCCTCTTCCATTGACTCGATCCAATGTGCGGCGTGGGCCGCCCATACATCTGCCGTGATAGAGAGGAGAGCAGTGCTGCCGAAGTGCCGAGCTAAGGAAAAACGCCGTATGGACCCTCAGGCGTTGCCAAATTTCGGTTGGTAAATTACGAATTTTCGGGAAAATTTGTAAATATTTTCCTTCTTATTTTTCAGATGATTTTGTTCGCAATCTTACCTGAAACTCCTGAAAATTACAAGGAAAAAAATTCATGACTTTTCTTAAATATAAACATTTTACCGAAGGAAATTTGGCAACTATCGAATGTTCATACGGCGTTCGTCCTTAGCTTGGCAGAGTAAGTGACATTATTTTCGATATCGAGTTTCCTTCAAAATTCGTCGGAGTAATCTCTTTCAGGGGCGGATCGAGCAATTTGGGTACACTGGACTTCCTCTATTTAAGCCTTTGCTTGGTAATCGATTCTTCTCGGAGCACCAGTCCGCTCCAAGAATCGATGCATTTCCATAGATTTAAATGGAGAAGATAAAACGTTGCCAGTTTGCTGGATCCGCATCCGCATATAATGCTCTTTTTTAGATGAAAGCGCTGAAACAGCTAAAACAGCATCATTCGTCTTAATTTTATGGAACCGAGACGTATCAAAAAGCCATAAGCGCGCAAAAAAAGACGAGTTTTATAGGCATGACAGCAGTAGGTGACAATATTACTCCAGAGAGCCGATGAAAACAGTTCTTTCGGGTAAACTACAACCTTCTTCTGCGAATTTCTACTCTGAAAATGTGTTTGTTGTGTGTCCAAAACGCAACCACGAAAGCATGCAGGGATAGTACTTACGACCGTCTTCCGGAACATTAACCTAGCATGAAAATGATAACTACCATATTGATGTAATTGAAATAAAATCAGTCGATTTTATATAATTCAAAGGATTTCTCGGAGTCCTCCGGACGATTAAAATAGTAGTTTCACGAAGAACGTACTCTGTTCTTCGGAGAAGCCCAGTATCATACTGGTCTCCATGGCAACAGGATCCGTGGAAGAGCGGGATCACTTTTAGGAACACGCTGTATACAAGCACTCTCCTTCTTTCGATATGACTGCTGCCAACCATGAAAATTGAGACTGCACCGAGTTCATAGTGGGCTCCTTGGCAACAAGGCTCCCTTGAAAATTCCAGATCACCTTTAGGCACACTCTGTATCTACACACCTCTCCTTTATTCCGAATAACCGCTGCCAACCGCGCAAATTGAGAATTCACTGAATTTGATTCCTGCCTCTCTTGGCGGCAAGCATCCAAGAATCTTCTAGATCAGTTTTCGGAACACGCTGTATCATCGCTTCCTTTCTCGATCAGTGCTGACCGATGTTAACCGTGCAATTTGGGAATTCCCCAATCACAAACTGCCGCCCCCATTCGAACAGAGCATCGATGATCCGTGACGGTCGGTTCCTTGGAACACCCTGTATCCGCGCTTCCCGCCTCCGACGGGGACGACTATTGCCAACCGTGAAAATTGAAAATTCACCAAGTTGATACTGGGCTCCTCGGCCAGAAGGATCCGTGGGAGAGCGGGAGCACTTTTAGGAACACGCTGTATACAAGCACTCTCCTTTTTTCGATTTGACTGCTGCCAACCATGAAAATTGAGACTTCACCGAGTTCATAGTGGGCTCCTTGACAACAAGGCTCCCTTGTAAATTCGTTATCGTCTTAGGAACAATCCTTATCTACACACTCTCCTTTCTTCCGAATGACCGCTGCAAACCGCGCAAATTAAGAATTCACTGAATTTGATTCCTGCCTCTCTTGGCGGCAAGCATCCCAGAATCTTCTAGATCAATTTTCGGAACACGCTGTATCATCGCTTCCTTACTCGATCAGTGCTGACCGATGCCAACCGTGCAAATTGGAAATTCCCCAATTACAAACTGCCGCCCCCATTCGAACAGAGCATCGATGATCCGTGACGGTCGGTTCCTTGGAACACCCTGCGTCCGCGCTTCCCGCCTCCGACGGCGACGACTGCTGCCAACCGTGAAAATTGAAAATTCAGCAAGTTGATACTGGGCTCCTCGTCTAGAAGGATCCGTGGAAGAGCGGGATCACTTTTAGGAACACGCTGTATACACGCACTCTCCTTTTTTCGGAATGAGTGCTGCCAACCATGAAAATTGAGATTTCACCGAGTTAATAGTGGGCTCCTTGGCAACAAGGCTCCCTGGAAAATTCGAGATCGGCCTTAGGATCACTCTGTATCTACACACTCTCCTTTATTCCGAATGACCGCTGCCAACCGGGCACATTGAGAATTCACTGAATTTGAATCCTGCCTCTCTTGGTGGCAAGCATCCCAGAATCTTCTAGATCAATTTTCGGAACACGCCGTATCATCGCTTCGTTTTTCGATCAGTGCTGACCGATGCCAACCGTGCAAATTGGGAATTCCCCAATTACAAACTGCCGCCCCCATTCGAACATAGCATCGATGATCCGTGCAGGTCGGTTCCTTGGAACACCCTGTATCCGCGCTTCCCGCCTCCGACGGGGACGACTATTGCCAACCGTGAAAATTGAAAATTCACCAAGTTGATACTGGGCTCCTCGGCCAGAAGGATCCGTGGGAGAGCGGGATCACTTGTAGGAACACGCTGTATACACGCACTCTCCTTTTTTCGGGATGACTGCTGCCAACCATGAAAATTGAGACTGCACCGAGTTCATGGTGGGCTCCTTGGCAACAAGGCTCCCTTGAAAATTCGAGATCACCTTTAGGCACACTCTGTATCTACACACCTCTTCTTTATTCCGAGTGACCGCTGCCAACCGCGCAAATTGAGAATTCACTGAATTTGAATCCTGCCTCTCTTGGCGGCAAGCATCCCAGAATCTTCTAGATCAATTTTTGGAACACGCTGTATCATCGCTTCCTTTCTCGATCAGTGCTGACCGATGCCAACCGTGTAATTAGGGCATTCCCCAATCACAAACTGCCGCCCCCATTGAAACAGAGCATCGATGATCCGTGACGGTCGGTTCCTTGGAACACCCTGTATCCGCGCTTCCCGCCTCCGACGGCGACGACTGCTGCCAACCGTGAAAATTGAAAATTCACCAAGTTGATACTGGGCTCCTCGTCCAGAAGGATCCGTGGAAGAGCGGGATCACTTTTAGGAACACGCTGTATACACGCACTCTCCTTTTTTCGGGATGACTGCTGCCAACCATGAAAATTGAGACTTCACCGAGTTCATAGTGGGCGCCTTGGCAACAAGGCTCCCTTGAAAATTCGTTATCGGCCTTCGGAACACTCTGTATCTACACACTCTCCTTTATTCCGAATGACCGCTGCCAACCGCGCAAATTGAGAATTCACTGAATTTGAATCCAGCCTGTCTTGGCGGCAAGCATCCAAGAATCTTCTAGATCAGTTTTGGGAACACGCTGTATCATCGCTTCCTTTCTCGAT